AATTGCGCTTGTTCCTTGGCATGCTCACGTTCTGCGCACGTTTCCTGCCCAACATGTCGACTGTGCTCCGCCCCTTGTATCAGCTCATGGAAAAACGAGCCCGTTGGGAATGGCGGGAACCGCAGCAGTCAGCGTTCGAGAAAGCGAAAGAAATGTTGAAGAATGCGCAGCTTCTCGTTCATTTTGATCCCAACAGGGATCTGAAGCTAGAATGTGATGCTTCCCCGTATGGCGTGGGTGCTGTTCTGTTTCACTCGGCGGGAAATGAGCCCAGACCAATCGGTTTTCGCTCCAGAACGTTAACAAAAGCGGAGCGAAACTACTCTCAGCTGGAGCGAGAAGCTTTGGCACTGATTTTTGCCGTTTCTCGTTTTCGTGACTACCTCCTAGGTCGGCAATTCACCCTGGTAACCGACCATCAGCCACTGCTGGGACTGCTCAAGCCTGACCGCCAAACGCCGCCGATGGCCGCCGCGCGCATTCAACAGTGGGCACTGTTCCTAGGAGGCTACCAGTACAAGCTACAGTACGTTACGGGGAAACAACTACTGACAGCAGATGCCCTCAGCAGACTACCAGCCCCGGCGGCAGCGGAACCAGTAGCCGAAGGGGAGCCTCCCGAGTACGTCCTGTCGTTGGAGGCCCTGGACGAAAGCATAGTGACGACGCACGAGTTGCAGGAGCTCACTGCCAAGGACTCGTTAGCCCGTGTCCCGGAATACATCTTGCATGGCTGGCCTCGAACAACAAGTGGAATGGTGCCCGACTTGCTGCCTTCTTTTGATCGCGAAATGGAGCTGTCGATGGCTCACCGGCTAATCTATTGGGGCAACAGAGTCGTCATACCACGGCAGGCACAGGAAAGGATGTTGCAGCTGCTACATGAAACCCACCAAGGCTCCTCGTCAATGAAAGCGGTGGCACGGTCACTGTTTTGGTGGCCAGGGATGGACAGGGAGATTCAGGAATTGTCGGCGCAGTGTGTAAGCTGTGTAGAAAACCTGCCCATGCCTGCGGCAGCACCACCGGTGAGTAGGCCGAAAACGGCCGAGAGATGGTCCCATATCCACATTTATTTTGCGGGCCCATTAGCCGGCAAGATGATACTTGTGGTGGTAGATGCTCACACGAAGTGGATTGAAGCAATACCTATGATGCATGCGAACACAGCAGGTACTATTCGCTGCTTACGAAGTCTGTTTTGTCGGTTTCGAGTGCCACGCAGAATCGTGTCCGATAATGGCACGCAATTTACGAGCCAGGAGTTCGCCACGTTTGTAGCAAGAAACAATATTGTGCACTTGCGTACAGCGCCTCTCCATCCTCAGTCGAATGGAGCAGCGGAAAAAGCAGTGCGAACCCTTAAGGATGGCTTGCGGAAAATGCAAGATGGCCCACTAGAAGATAACATCATGCGCCTGCTATTCCATTACAGGAGGACCCCGCAAAAAGAAGGACAGCCACCCTCGGAGATGCTTCTCGGTTACCAGCTGCGGTCCCGTCTTGACACCTGCCTGCCGCCCAGGGATGAGAACTGGTCGCCGGGTGCTGACGATTGGACCATCTCGCCAGGAAGCAGCGTCTACGTGCGCAACTACGGTGCAAGCACAAGATGGACTCCTGGACGCATAAAAGCTGCGTCGGGGGCGAGAATGATAGCCGTGGACACACCAAGAGGGTTAGTGCAGCGTCATATCGACCAAGTTCGCCGCCGCCGCGAATCGACGCCGAAGTCTGCAACTGCGGGGACAGCTGAAGGCGCGGACGCTGAAGCTGAACCTGCCAGCGTGACTACTCCTGTCCCGTCTCCTGCGTTGCAACGCACGTCCAGGCGGAATGAGCAAGAGCGAAGCCCAGAGCTACCGGCAGCGGATGGTCGGAGTGAGTTTTCCCCACCAGCTGCTACGGAACCTCCAGACAAGAGTTAGGAACCCGGTACAACGGTTCCACTTTTAAGAGGAAAGAAATGTTGTATTTGTTTCGTTTGTAACGCCAGCAAAACCAGCTGCGCACGCACCATTTCGTTTGGGCCCTGTGCGCCTTCATTCTCCCTCTTTCTTCCTTCACCCTCTCCTAATGCCAATGTATATAACCACGCTGCGGACAATAAACGCCGGCGTTGACTGCCCGACCATCGTCCTTGCTGCTTCGCTGTGCACGCTTGTGTTACTACAACTAGCAAACCCTATGAATTTACAACACGATTGAACTACACTGGATATGAATGTGGCCAAGGGCTTACAGTAGCCAACGCTCTGTGTTGCTCGGTCGACAATAATCCGCTAGATTGGGCAGTTTACACTTCCAATCGACAATTATCACGGAAATTGCCGTTCATGTGCAATCTGGTGCAGGAGGTCAGGTTGGCGCAGAATGGCACAATTGGCATAGTACTTCCACCCCTTAAAGGGCCACTCACCAGGCCCCATACCAAATTTTAGTTAGACAGTGGAAGTTGTTGGGTGTCCAATCAGGAACATTTTGCCACAAAAATTTTTTGAATCTGTTCATGACGAGCGGAGAAAACAGGTTCTTTGAAGCGGCGCGAAACAAGTGTGAGAGGAGGCGAGCTCGAAACACTTGCCGTTTCTCCGCGTAGCCTTCACAAGCCAAATCTCTTCCCCACCCTCTCCGGCATCCGACCAAGAGATGACGTGCGCATGACGCTCCCGAAAAAGTTCAACCCCCGAGCACACGAGCGGCGTTGCTTTGTTGATTAGCGTTATTTTGTGGTATTCTGTCTGTTTCTGTGGGATGGTTTCGAAACACTGCCTTAGACACGGTAGAATAGATGAGCAGAATGAGTGCGCGAACGCGTAGAAGCGTTTCACGGCGGTCGTCTGCTCGATGCGCTGACCGCGAGGACACGAACACATGCGAAACGCCGAAACATTAGCCCCGCATCTCGTTGCGATTCACGGGAGAAAAATGGAAAAAAGACGCTCACATTCCCTAACTGCGTCTCATTATTTATATAGAGTTTTATTAATCTCTTCAAGCAACAAATTACATAAATTACGCATTCCGTGTTAAATAATTTTCATCATGTCACGTGCCACTGTTTGCAACGTCAGAGCAGAGTCGTCTACGTAAAGAGCCGTCACTGCATTGCCGTGTACATAGGGCCATTCATACGCGCACGTCATGCCCTCATTCTCTGGGCGCGTGCCGGCAGAGGGGAGGGGGAGCAGCGTTAATCTTGAAATTTGACCCATTTCCGCGGCGCCTAGTGTTGCAAATTTGGGAAGACAAGATCATGAATGCCTCGTCTATGCACTGCGCCTGTCAGCTCAAAATTGTGAAACCTCGCGAGTGGCCCTTTAATAAACATGATCTAAAATAATTCCTCTAATAGAAATAACCAAGAAATAATCACAATAATTGATTTCAAATTGCTAAAAAGTTTTAGAAACATGTGGCTGACTCTAGTGCCACGCAAAATAGAACACAATTGTCTCACTAAGAGCGATTGGCCCTCCCGCTGGCTCCAACTACAGAGATATACCCCTGGTGAGGAAAATGATGACACGCATCTCAACTGCCGTAGCAAGTCGATTAGGCGCAGCAAGAGAGTAGAGCCCACGTAAAACACCACGTATGCTCATCTCCCTAACAAGATTCTCTTTGTGCATGGAAGCCTTACATGCTCAACTCAAACATTGGCGTGATTAATGGTTCAGTAAACGGAGCAGTGGCAACTCTAGGAATGGGAATTACTGGATGCCTGGGCTATGCACTTCCTCAGGTGTCACAGCCGTGAAGCTGCATTCATCGCAGGATTTGGAAATACACCAATCACTGCGCAAGAATGACACCAGAGCTGAATATGAATGGCATTGAGAGCTACATTAATTACTAGATACAGACCTTTTTCGAACCATTTTTGTGCTGGCAGCAAAGAGGCTGAGGTGCTTGAGCTTAGAATCGCTATATGCCACTACCTCATGGCTCTAGATACGCAGCAAAATCACAGTGGGGTGTTGCTGGCAAACATAACCATTGGAGCAACAAACTACCATACAATTCTAGTTACTTTCAGTAATTCCATGCATTCCACTGTTTGTATGTTTTGTTAACTAAAAAACTGAATAAATCCAAGGATATCAGAAGTGCCAACAACTTTCAATTAGCAAGGTGTTATAGCATTACCCTTGGCTCGCTCCGTAGTGAGGGAGCATCCCGGTAAGGCATGTTGTATGTAAACTTCTGTCAGGGATAATTTTTGAAGACTACTTCTAGTCGTACTAGATGAACAAGCCACATGACCCTCCCAGCAGACCCTCTTTAGTAGATAACATGGCTCTGCAGGCAGTTCCATCTTCAATAAGTTCCACGTTAGGTTCTTTGCATAGGAACAGTGTACTACTCGCTCACCATATTGCTCAATTAAAAAAATAGGTCCCCACCCAAATGAATCGAAATTCAGGCACATAACTAAAAGCACACAAAGAGCTTGATCCGCTTAGAACAAAGTGGTGAGCAAAGGTGTTGGCAAGCTGTGGCTATCTTTTTGCATATTTATGACAAATCAGCTGTGGCTATCTTTTTGCACATTTATGACAAATCAATGCCGCAGACAAAATATTCCCACACGGGCACAGAACAGGCCAAAGTAGCAAAGCCACGACTGATGACCAAGCAAGTGCTGAGTGCTCCCAGGTCTTTACTGTGGAGAAAACTAGAGCTGTGAAACTCGATGGGGGACCAAGCTCAAACTGTTAATGTCAGTTGTAATCCCGTTGCTGGTGTCCCTGCGATACAATCCACATAAAAATAAAGTCTTCCTGGCACTTAAAAGCGGCCATAAGAAGACTGGTCACATTTGAGACTTGCCTGAAGCACCAGGCAATACAATCAAAGCTATGGTGAGCGGTGCTATAATGGTGAAGCAATACACAAATAAAAATAAGAAAAACATTGGTGTGCCTACTCTTCTTTGCCTATGTTTTAAAAAACAACAGTGGTATGCCACAGGTAAACACGTAAACAGAAAAGCCCACCTTGGTAGATTTAGACTCCTCGTCCCAGGAACCCCATTCACCCCCACTGGATTGTCGGCCACTCTTTGTGTGAGGAGGTTCACTCGGCCGCTGTGGCCCCTTGCCATCGTTATGACTGCGGTTGCCTGCGCTGTAAATGCAAGTGCAACCGTCAAACTGTTAGATGCGGTATGAACACCGAAAAATGGCAAATGGGACAAACAGCACTCGACGCTTCACTTCAACCTCACTATAACAAACTTCAATAGAATAAAATTCTTGACATAAAGTACCTTACTTTGCAGAACTTTGTAACCAAAGAACACCATGTGTTTTGAACTTCAATATAATGAAATGTGTTTACCAATACTACAAAAACCTCAACAAAAGACCTTTGTCACACCAGCACTGCAGGACCAACCAACTATACGTAGAAACTTTTTGCTGAGGCTCGGGGTGATACGGTTGAGTTGCACATGGCTTTTGCAAATGCATTTTATGTTATAAAGAGCAGCCAACAATGCAGAGCACCTGCTTTTCAGCAGGGGCTTCAGGGAAAACTCTGCGCTCTCGTCACCTTCAGGGCAGCAGAGTGATCTTGCGGCAGACTTACACCGTGTGGGAAGCCACCCGACATGAGAGCCCCATATGGTGGTTTGAGGAGAAGCTCAAAGAGCCACAAAGAAGGCAGGGAGCTGAATGCAACAAGGTGGCATGGTCTGAGCTCAGGAAATATATGCCCTGCCGATGAATTTGGAAGCGATCCCGATTGCCAAGAAAAAAGATGTTTTCAGATCCCCAACTTTGGAGTGAGCTATTCTAGCCTCCTAAAAAAAGCACCACAGTTTCAAAGACTGGCCTGTATAAACACAGTCCCATCAGATGTGCACTTTTCCATTTACAGCTCCTCCTGCGCCCTACACTAAGAATATAACGCGGACATGAAGAGACGGCTACTCTCTCCACTGAGCAGTGTGTCGTCATGCAGCCTGTGCTCTTTGGTTTTTAGTAGCAGTATTTACTAGAGGCATGCAAATAGTAAATGTTAGAACCAAATAGAATATGAATCCAACTAAGATGACACCAAATCGAATAACAACAATTAAATGCTATTATTCGAATAGTTTTCAAACAGTAGGACAACAATTTTCAAGGAGAGCTTTAGAGGGACTGTCTACCACCCAGAGAAATGATCTGATTGTGATGCACATGAGAAGATCATTCATCACATTGGCGGTAACGAGCATGCTTTTGTCCCATACTGCTGCAATTTCGAAATAAAATTCATAGCACGGCCGCTAGATAAAAAACAAGGTGCGGCCTGTTGCGTCACGTTGCCATCAATGGGCAAGCGGGAGTGGGCAGAGTTGACAGTTTCGGCCGCTTTTTTTTTTTGGGGGGGGGGGGCGATAACGCTACACCCGTCGAAGCGAATGGCACTTCGTGTGTCAATGTGGTTGCGTTAGGATTTGTGCATGTCCATGTGCTTTCTTACAATTTCTTTGTGTGCGATCGTCTATAGGGGGTAGCTCACCTCATGTTTCCTGCGATCGTGTACGATTCTTTGTTGTGTGCGTCTGTGGCAGATGGTTTTTCAGTGGTGTGACGCCGCGAAGCTGCTGTGCGCCACTGAGCAGCCTAAGCGTGAAAAAAAAGACGCTACTTTGAAGTACAACGTATTCCCCTGCGATCTACAATGTCTAGAAGAGTATCGGGACTGCGTATTATTCGTAGTAAAGCACTTACTTTTGTCAGAAACGAGCACTGAATCAGACGCGTGTCGCCCCCAAACGACTGCATCAAATCATTGTGCCAAGTGTTTCTTCTATGAACGCACGTAATGTAATAAGAAAACAAGCATCAAAATGCACCCAGGGCATGCCCTTACGCTCTACACACGCGACAGCCAACAAGCACAGATCAGGAGAAATCTAGACATCGAAGCGGGGCCTTTTTTGGAGGCCACCGTTTTCACAGACGAACCAGTGAGATGAAACCCTTTCCCCTGGCTGCTGCCCTGGCACGTACGTGCCACGCAAGAAGGTTTGGCGCTAGACGCAGTACAATTATTTGGAATGTTTGCAAATCAGGAAGGATCCAAACAAGAGGTGTCGGAGGATAGGGCAAGCGGTGAACTCGGGCAGTAAGTTGTGATATTTGAGCGTGTGAGTTAGTCCTGTATAGTCCGATTCAATCGATGTTGAAGAATCGAGTTATGACACCGCTGGAGTCCTTTGTTGAAGAACGTCGGCAGGACGACAACCAGTGCTGGAGTTCATTTCAGTGTTTCCTTGAAGATAAATATTCGTATTCGAGACATGTTCGAAGAATTGTTGAGTACGCGTGTGTGGTGAATATTTGATGCCGCTAAGTGTTTTTTGCGCACTTTATAATGCGTGCGATTGCATTTGTAGTGCGCCAAGTTTGTTTCCGTTGTTTTAAATGCCTTCTAAGTGATTTTGTGAGTTGTAAATGGTACCTGCCAAGTGTGCAAGTTTGTATGATGCCTTTACTGATAATACATATTTTCTTTGTGTCGTAACCTATTAGTTTTTATTTAGGTCTTTGCACCACCACCGGCGTTGTTGATGCACTAAAAGAACCTACAGTTAAATTGTTTGTGCTTTTGCCGTGTGTTTCGGTGGGCCAATGCGTTAGCCCTTGGAATCTGCCTGGCGATTGCTTTCCCCATGAATGGAATCAGTGACCCTTTTCATTTTAGGCGAGTCCAATGGGCAGCGTTCATGGAGAGTATTGAGGCCTATACTCTACGAATGATCAGCCCTCCTAGGGCAAAGTGTTCACATATGTGGTGTAATAGGTACTCCTAATAGCGATTCAGAATTAAACCTGTGATGTGCAGCTACGAAACACATTATTTACGGCCTACTGTCCCGTGTAGAAATTCTCATGAAAGCGTTTCTCCTGGAAGTAGTGGTGGCGCCAGAGTGGGCGCGAGGTGAACTAAGCCCAACTCACCGCTTCAGCTGGACGCATTAGGCCGCACCCTTTTTTTCATCCAGCGGCCGTGTATACAGTTTTATGCTAGAAATACTCTTCTTGAAATTCAGAAAATGAGAAACATTTTACAGATCTGAAAATTTAGCTATCTTGCACACAATCTAATAACAGTTACAAAAAATTTCTACAGGGCAACACGAATTTAAAATCAGCATCACACGTCCTAAACAGGTTAAACATGCTGTTTTTGTTTCTTAAATGGTTATGACCCATGCAGCAGAAAATTACTGTGCTGATAGCTATGCTCTTTGGCGGAGGAAGCTTCTACTGAAGAAGAAAAAGTCAGACATATTTGTCCCAATTTCACGAAGGGTTAAGGCCCAGTTAAGGCAGTAATTTCATGCTCTGGGTGCAGCCTAATTCAGTTATTTGTACACAGGAGAGCATGGTACAGCAACTCCAGTCACGCTAAACAGGTGACCATGGAAGCAGTAAAATCGGAGTATTTTAACTGACCGTAGCTTTGTGGTGGTTGAATCAGAGGAGAAATCCCGGGAAGCCTTCCGCTTGCTGCGACTGTCAGCGTGCTTCCGCAGAGCAGACAGGGCTCGTCCCGACCGGGTGTCCCGATACTTCCGCTGCGGCAGTGGCAGCACCGTCTTCTCATACAGCTGCACCAGTGCTTCTTTGTCTAGTTCCTCGAGCCGTGGGTGTTTCACGTACCGCTGTGGGTAAATACAAGCAGGACCCTTTGCAGAGCCATTTAGGCAAGCCAGCCATGCTTTCCTGAGTATACTTTTGAGCTATTTTACTTATAGATGTTATTCTTGCTGGCCCATTAAAGAGTGTATTAGCTACTTCCCTAAAGCCTAGAAATGCTCAGTTAAAAAAAAAACACACCAACAAGACTGAAAAAAAAAAAAACCCCAGCCTATGAATGTAACAACTTGTTTCATACAATGCCGCAGCAAGAAGCAGATGGGCTTCCTTATTGCTGGATCAATCAGACAAGTAGCATTACTCACCATAAAAAGCCGAGCTAAAATAGCAACACTAAAGCTTCTATTCCAATGTATGAATGGAGACATTAAGATTAATAAAACCAAGTTCATCTCATTAAACAATACAAGACCAACAAGACAGAAACACTCCCAAACATTAGCTGAATGCTCAACCAACACATTTTCTTTTTTCTTTGTGCATTTTCTTTGTGCAACAAGAGAATGGAATGAAGTAGATAAATCGATCACTAATACAAAGTCCGTAAACACATTTGTGACATCATTACAAAACTCTCTCATGATCATGTAATTGCAATAACCTTTTTATTTGTTATTTTTGTACTTTTTATATTGCAAACTTGCTGCTGTAGTATTCTCAATGCGTGTACGCCAGACAAGCATCACACTACTTTTTTCCTTATGCTTACGCGTATACCTACGATGTCCTTTTGCTTATGATGTGATGTACTTTAATTTTCATTACTTGAGCCATACTGGTGCGCTGCAGACATTATTTGGAGGATATGCAGAGTGCCTAGTACTAAGAAGCTAACAATGTACTACGTATTTTTGTTGTTGTTTCTTTAAGACTATTGTATGTGACACTGTGTTCCTCCTGCAATAATCCTGAATGGGATTGGCAGTATTGTAAAATAAATAAATAAATAAACCAGAGGTGTCAGGAGTGAGGTCGTTCATCTCTCATGCAAGAGCAGTATGTGGCTTTCTGGGAAACAAGAACTTGCTAAAGGTTGAACTTGGTTTCCTCATTCAAAAAGTTAGCTCGGAAAGATAGAATGCCTGACACACGGTGTAAAATACAAACGCTTTAGGTGGGGACACTTCTCGGCTTTCTTATGAGATGCAATCGACCAGATAAAATAACAAAGACACGCGTCCGTCGAACCATGGCCCGCAGCGCACCTATTGGCCAGCCAGCACAACTTGAAAAAAAAAAAAAAAATAAATTTTCAATGCTTTATTGCTATAGTAACCGGTGAGGCTGGCAGCAACGCCTGCGTTCCAAAAGCGTCGCGATTTTCTCTCGCAATAAACAAGTCATTCGGCTGCTTCAGTCTCTAGCAGCCTTTGGCTCGTTTTATGAATAGGTGGCATTTCATCATTCCCGTTAGCGAAATGAACTTGTGATGTGGTGAGCAGCCATGAATGAAACCTGCTGAAAGAAGACATTCACACAGTGAGTGAATATGGAAAGAAAAAGCTTAGTTAGTGGTTGCGGGTCAGGTTACTCTACGCGCCAACAAAATGTAATATTATCCAATGTTCCTTCTGATCCCGAACACCACAAAGCATAGACTCAAGCAGTTTCCAGGAAGGACAGTCCACTCAGCCCAAAAGATACAGTCTGCGGCGAACATTTCACAGATGAAACGATTCATCATAAATGTGAATGAATCATTTCCGTAGCACAAACATTTCTTTTAAGTTTATACAACACAATGACGTGTTCCAATAAATAGCGATTTTTGCAATTACATAGGCACTGAGCTTTTTTTTTTTTCCATATTATGTTGTGCATTCACTGCTTTTTGTGAGCAAGTTTTTAGCGGCATTCCTAAAAAAGTACGGTGATTGTTCAATGCAAAAAAAAAAAAAACTGTAATCCTCTTTTCGTGCACGATAAGAAGGAATTAAAATCAGCGAGAAGATAGGTGTAGGGGTCCGGTAAACTTGTCTCCCAGCAGGTAATCACACGGTCCTGAACTTTTCGCCATGAAAACAAAATTTGGTGCAACACCGGAGGTATCTATGTAATGCATGCAACAAATAGGTCAAGGTATCGAAGTGGTCGGTTCTCCTTTTACGAGCAGTCACGCGGTCTTATTCAAGTTCTGCTTTGCTCGTCATCGAAAGAATGTGCATCCCCCATGCTCTTTGCGCGCTTCGGAGATCCAGCTTGCGGATACAAGCGCCCCACCTACCATGAACAAGTGCATAAAAATTAGCCCATTTTAATAATAAACTGCTTGATACAAAATTTTGGAAAGCATGTCAGTTATGTGCGTATCTGTCTCGCCCCAAGCAGTATTAAGTTCAGAGGACGTACGAGAACCACTTCCAATATCGGCATGCGCTCCATAGAGAGGCATCTATCTAGACCGTGCTCTCCACGTGACTCAAGCTCCTGGCATGCTTGCAGATAATAGTAATCAATTTTCACTCTTTGGCATGAACAACATTCCTGCGCCACTGAATTCAAATTTCTCATTAATGACCGGTTGTTATAGCAACACCTCTTTCTGTCTAGAGGTTCCGTCTATTTACCGGTAGGCATTCTGCCGGCAGCGGTTCGACAGACGCGCGTCGCTCTTACTTTATCTGGTCGATCGAATCTCACGAGTGTCCCCCCTAAAGTGTATCTTACACCATGGCCCAACACAAGAAATGTGCTGTTTAATTGTCTTCTTTATTTTGTTAGCTAGTTCTCGTACAAAACAGGTGGGATGGAAAGAAACAAGAACAACGCGGTGTGCTTTTTTTATCACGTTCTGACCATGATGGCAGTGAAAACATGCTAGACGGTTCTACATTGTGTCATGGATGACTCTAGTGTTTTTTTGTCAAAATTCAGGCGACAACTGGTTACATTAAATGTAGACGCTGCAAGCCTGCACCTGTTTTCACATCCACAGTTGAATTACGCATTTATTTTACAAGATGACAAGCTTTGCACCAGCATGGCAGCAGGCACGTGAGCTCTTTTCACCAAGAAAGAAGGAGCCATCTTTAGGTTCTGGCTCTATGTGGATGCTAATAAACATCTGTGTGAGTTCTTAAGTTTTTTCTGGCTGTTTATGCCATACATATTATATTCATTGCAGAAACGGTGGAGGTGACAGCCGGGGAGCTACTGACAAGAGACATTGCTGGTAGCTACCAAGTGGAACAACAGAATGAACTACGTAAGCGGACAGTTCACCTCACCGTCATAGACAAGCTAAAGTCGAACAGGACCCGCCCAGAATACCGAGCTAATTCAGCAGACAAGTGTGCTACTTGAAAACGACGATGTGATTTACGAGAAGTTCAAGAACAATAATAAAGCGCTGGCAAAGATTGTTGAGCAGAAAGATGAGGCATTCCAGACAGAGTATGCCACCGTAATTGAAAACGAGGACCTGGATATTAACTGTGCTCTAAAGCAAACGCCAAACGCGTAACGAAGCATCTGCGGTGTCACCACCATAATGAAGTTTGTGACCTGCCGAAAAGCCACTGGTCGAGTTACCGAAGCTGACAATTCCTTAACAGGTGACTTGTGCAACTAGAACGAGTCTTGGGAGCAATTCAATCAGGTCATCAGCCGGAGTGGAAATCTTGCATCGACTGAGAAATTCAACTGTGTCGAGCTTTTCTTGAAAGGTGACACGTTGGCAGCTACAGCGGGGCTTTCCTACCACCAAAGCATGTGATGAAGACGCATTGGTCATGCTGAAGAGATGTTTGGGAGACAAAAAGTACTTGGAGCAGGAGTATTTCTCAAGGCTTCGAAGGCTTAGTTTAGTTTGTCCTTCCAAAGAAGTGACCAAACTGAGCAAGTTGTGTGACGACGAGCTGAATTAGAGTGGAAGCGCTTGTTGTCCTCATTGATGCCATGCGACGTTTTGCTGGGGACACTATACCCACTGTGCACCTTGGTTTCGCTTCCTTGTGCTTTCTTGTTACATAGCATCTTTACTGTGCACAATAGTGCACCGTATTGTTATGATTTTTTGATGTCTATGCCAGTGTTGTTTGTATGCCCACTTTTTTCGTGGCTTAAAGTATCCTTTAATAAATAAAAATAAATGGCACCAGAACACCATTTAAGACACATGCATTGCAGGTAGAAGGGGAAAAAAATGTTAACCCTAATAGAACCTGTCTTGCGGTTAAGGCCCGTGTGCTCAGATTTGGGTGCACGTTAAAGAACCCCAGGTGGTCAAAATTTCCGGAGCCCTCCACTACGGCGTCTCTCATAATCATATGGTGGTTTTGGGACGTTAAACCCCACAAATCAATCATGTCTTGCGGTTAAGGAGTTGGAAAAAGAGTGCACCAAATGATATGCATAACTATGGCAGCTGATCGTGTAGAGGATAAGCACTCTCTCAGTGACATACCTATCAGTGTGGGTGTGTAATTACTAGAGACCGGATTATAGGCAAATGCCTATTTTGTTCCTTGCATTCCTATCGTGGCATTTTGATATATGAGCATGAATTAGGGGTTAAAGAGGGCTTTTATAGTGTTTTAATAGTGCCTATAAATGCCTATTTCAGGGGTTCGTGGCTAAATGCCTATAAGTGCCTCTAAATGTTTCTTTTAAGAAATCAGTGCCTAAATGAGCACTATCTAGGCCCAAATTTTGTTTGGAGCGCGGTTTGAAACTGTTATTCATGTAAAGGCAACATTGATAATTCCAAGCACTATGAGGTTCAACAAAGTCCTCTAGATCTAGCAACTTCTGCAAAACAACCGCGAATCGCAGTGAAAAGACGCTTGCTGGCCACCATACGTGAACGATCAGAGGAGGAGCATGAGGAGTGCAAAATGCTCTATTTCTCAGCTCTAAATGGAAGCAGCATCTGTAGGGGATCGAGGAGAGAGAATTAAAGACAGGAATATGAGTGGCGTCTGTGGCTGAGGCCATCATCTACAGAGAGCTGCTCAGTGTCTTGAAGGAACTGATGAACAGCAGCTTTTTCTGTGCAGTCGCTAGT